GTGGAGTCAGTTCTGACTCATAGTGACCCTGCACAGGATTTCCGAGGCTGCAAATCTTTACGGGAGCAGAAAGCCTCATCTTTCTCCCACGGAACAGCTGGTAGGTAGCTTCGAACTGCGGACCTTGAGGTTAGAAGCCCAATTCATAACCACTACGATACCAGAGCTCCTTAGTATACTATGGTGATTACCAATCAGAAGGTCTGGATTCATATCTACTATTCATATTCTACCATGGGGCAAATTATTTTAGCTCTCTAAACCTTAGTTTCTCATCTGTAAAGTGACACAAATTATGATAATGACAATGATGGACACCCCCACCTCTGGCCTGATGTTGCAGCAGTCACACAGAGCCAAGCATGTTCCAAACCTCAGACAAGTCACATAAGCTCTTAGAGGACAGTCTCATACGTAAAACGGAGACTCGCAATATGACACAATAGATTGGAGTTACTATTTGTAAAGAGTCGTGTATGGAGCCTAACTCTTAGTAATGAGTAGTTTAATACATTTCAGCAGTGATTACTAAGCATGGAAGGAGGAGCTCAGATTTTGGGGGCCAGAGAACCTTAGGAAGGAGGAAGCAGTCAGGGTGGTAGACTAAAGCAATCAAGGAAGGTTTAGAAAGTGGGCAGTTCTGGGGTTGTACCTACCAGAGCCAGAGAGCATTCAGCAGACAGTAAATTACAAGGTTCCAAAGGAAATCATGGGAACAGAGAGCTGGGCAGAGTAGGCAACCAGGCTGAACTGAACAGCGGCAGATGGGAGGGAAGAGTAGAATGCAGCTGAGGAGGCACTGGGGTCTGGCAGTGTCCTGGATGTGTAAATGAGGAAGCCATTGGAGGGTTTGTGGGTTCTCTGCCATCCTAGATTGCTAGGAGGTCAAAATAAGAAAGACTCTTAGAGACTGTCTAATTCAAACTCCCGTTGGACAGATGGGGGCACTGAGGCCCAGAGTGGGAGGCCTCCTCTGGGAACAGAGCCAGCAGTGGCTCCTCCTCCCACTTCTCCTCCCTACTGCAGTGGCTCCCGTTGCCATGGAGACGTCCCTGGCTCTGAGGGTGTCAGCAGCTCCCCCACCCCCTCTCCTTCCCTAGCAACAGGCCACCTCCTCCAGCTCTCATCCTTGGTTCCTAGCAACCCTACCCTGGCCCTCAGGTCCCTGAATTCCCAATATGACCCGCACAGCAGCCATGCCTAGTTTCCCTCTTCCCTCCTGTACCTTTCTGTTTTCAAGTTCTACACTTTGCATATTTCCAGCTCATCTATATATAAAATATATATATTGTTGAGTCACTATTTTACACTGAGCCTTGATTTAAGTATTCTCAGCAACCCAGAGAAGTCCGAATTATTATCTGTATCAATGAAGAAAGTAAGTATCAGAGAAGTGAAGTGACTTGACAAAGATCACATAACTAAGAAGGAGGCTCTGCTGATAACTAGTTTTGTGACCTTGAGCCATGACCAACCCCTGTCTGGACCTTGGTTTAAGGTGTCTTTAGGTTTGACAAGCTCTCACAGATCTACAGGAAATCCAGGCACCTTCCTCTGCCTACAGCCCTCCCCCAACACCAGCTGTTCTACTCTAATTAGAATCCACACTTCCTCTGGCAACCCATACTTAGAAGCCCTCAGGCCTGGGCCCTGTCACTGAGGCTTTCAAGCCACCTACCTTGCTCATTCCTTGCTGTTCAGTTTCTATAGCATCTAAGGTCTAGATCTTCTCTTTTGTGTGTGTTTTCTCCCCATATCCTCTTAACATCCCCACCATCACACACAACATACATACACATACACACAATGCCTATCAAATGAGGAAACTATGGATCCTCATGGATGAAGAAGAGATTTGTCCAAAGTCACATAATTAGAATACAACCTAGCCATAAATGGAGTCCAGATTTGACTGGATCCAAAGTTTCTGCTCTTTCTATGCCACAGAGTAGCCTCTTCTCTCCTCTACAACCTTCCTTAGTTCCCTATTGACACAAGGTATCTGTGACCCATCCCAGCTGGTATTCTGAACTTTCACATTTGCTCTTTCCCTACCAGGATCTATTGTTTTAGCCCACCAGACTTCTCAATGGTCTAAACCAATCACTTTCCTACACATGTAGATTCCACCTCCAGGGATGTCCTCCCTATGCAAAGTCAGTCCTCCACAGTCCAACATAGACATTGTCTTCTCCAGGAAGCTAACTCTGACCCCTAACTGATGTGAACTCAAGAGCAGATGTGTGGATCCTGACAGCATCTTTTGGAGGACCTATCCATCCTTGGTTCTAAGTTTAAGGATCTTCCCACCATGATTGCAAGGTCTGGCCCCACAAGTGCCATGTTTAAAGCCTTTTCCACAGCTATGTCTGACCCCTTGCTTTCCCAGTTACTGCGTCCTCAAGGTCCCTATAGCCTTCTTGACTATGGATCCCGGATGGATATCAGGAAGCATGCCTTAGTAAAAAAAAAAAATCCTGGCTCAAGAATTAGATAGCCCAGGGTATGAAACAGAGTGAAGAAGTGCTCCATAATCTCTTCTTCACCTGGGAAAACCTAATTTTTCTCATTTGTAAATCAGGGATTCTAATTCATGCCTAGAAGTCCTGGTGTGGCATGGTGGGTTAATATGCTGGACTGCAAGGTCATCAGCTGCTCCTTGGAAACCCTATACAGGGTTGCTATGAGTCAGAACCGACTCTACTGCACTTCACAACAATTCATGTCTAATAGGGTTGCCTTGAACATTCAATAACATCATATTAAAAATTCTCAGTATGTGAGGAACAAATGGTAATTGCTATTATTACTGATATTAAGATGAGGATTATGATTATTATTTACAAGGCTGTTGGAACTCCAGTACTGATGGTGTGGGCAGGGTTCTGGGCTTGGTGCCAGGCAGATCTGAGTTTGAATCCTGACTCAGCTACAAGTTGCATGGCTGTAGGATGAACTCTTAACCACCTTGGCCTTAGTTTCCTCATCTATAAAACTATGATGATAAGGCTTGCCCAAGCTCCCCCTACAGTGTCACCAGAAGGATCAAACAAAAGAAAGTCCCTGACAGTTTTGGTAAATTGTAAAGACCCAACATGCGTCATTATAACTTATGATTATGATCATTATTAAATACCCTGAGCTATAGGTTCCAGGAACTCCTCTGCTGAGAAGGGTTAAGAACTAGAGAGGACTTCAATTTGCTTCTTCAATAAATAGGAAGCATAGCAATGGGGCATACCTGGGGGAGCTTGGGGCTCAGAATCAGACCAAGTTGCCTTTCTCCATGTCCTCAGTGGGGCAGTGGGATCCATGTCCTTTGCTAGATGTGTTGTGTTAAGTGCCATCGAGTTGGTTCCAACTTATAGCGACCTATATAGGGTTTCTGAGGAGCAGCTGGTAGGTTTGAACCACCAGTCATGCAGTTAGCAATACAGTGCTTATCCTACAGGATCAGACCAGGACCCTTTTATGCCTTTGTAAATTCTAGGACAGGCTGTGCCTATGCCATACTTCTTGCATACTGGGACAAATTATCCCTTATCATATACCCCTTGTGTGGACACTGGAATTGACTGTGTCCATCGCAATGCCCTGGCCTAAATGCTGGACCTAAGTGCACTTCTATCCCATTCTCCTGCATAGAGCCCATATCCCCCAGCCTGGGATTCCAGAACAGAATGTGTCTTATCACATACTGCTGTCTGTATGGTGAGATTTCCTGCTCCTGCCCCATATTCAAGCAGTCCTGGTGGCACAGTGGCTAAAGTGCTCAGCTGACAACCTCAAGGTTGGCAGTTTTAGCCCACCAACTGCTCTGTGAGGGAACGATACGGTAGTCTGCTTTTATAAAGATTTGTAGCCTTGGAAACCCAATCGGACAATTCTGTTCTGTGCATAGTATTGCTATGAGTAAGAATCGACTTGACAGTAGAGTTTGTGTGTGTGTGTGTGTGTGTGTGTGTGTGTGTGTGTGTGTTTGTCCCATATCCACTGCCTGGGTGATAGGACCTGGGCTGCTGCATATGGTTGGGCAAGTTGTGTCCTGAACAAGGGTTCACAGACAAGATGGCACAAGAGGGGGCCTTTTCTCCAATCTGTGCTTTGCTCATCAAGCACAGGAACCCTGATGAGGAGCTGCAACAGACTAGAGGAAAGGAGATATTTTTCCAATTGATCCATCCAGGCACCTTTTTCTATTCTTCACAAAGGTGTTAGGCTACTTGCAGCCCTGCCAAAGATCAACTGTACTCAGCCCATGCTGCCTAGATCCTTGAACTGCCCACTTCATCTCATAATCCTCTACCTGGATGCTAAGACTGATTGGGCCCTACTCTAAGCCTCCCATCCTTCTGCTTCACACTTTTGTCTTCCTGAAGTTCTGTGATGGATTAGGGCCCTGGGAAGTACACAAGCAGCCCATTTCTACCTTAGTTTTGCTCCTGCCTTGTCAGGTTGATCACATTTTTAAGAGTTATTGAAGCTTGTAGACATTTTTACCATGCATGCAAAATTTTCTTACTTGCCGCCATAATGTATATTTCTAGTATCTAGAATATATCACATCAAAAGTCCATCAAAATCCCACTACTCAGGACTGGCATGGTTCAGGGTGGAACATAATGCTGGACTAGGGAAGCCCAGCATTCACTGTGCCTCTTCTCCTGGGGGTGAGGTGGGGTGGGAAAGGTACAGAGCTGACCTCTCTAAAGACTGGATCTCACATCTGTCAGTTCTTATGAATGCCAATAGTGTTCAGCTAAGCTCCTGAGTCAGCTGGGGTCAGACAGACTAAGGAACAGTCTTCAACCCATATTTTATTCTGCCTTCCCACTCCATTCAGTGCCTACCTCTGACACCAGTAGGAAAAAGTCCCCTTGAGTTGGTCCCCAGCCCCTGCCCGTGAATCCTGAAGTAACAAACCAGAGCCCCTCTGCCTTCCCCTGCCCCCCAGTCCCTGCTCCATCTCCCAACTACTACTAAAGAAAGGAAGTACTGACCTGACAGTTCTGGAATTCTCACCATCGGACCTGAAAGGGAAACAAAAGGGGAAAAAAACAGTCAGCATATGCTCTGCTCTATAGGATACCATTGCCTTATAGGGTAATGAGTATAATACTCTTCCTCTTTCTGTAGGGGGCTTGGGGCCTAATATACCCCATAAAAATGAGGTATTTCATGCATAGAAAATAGCAAGTACAATAGCTGTGGGATGTGTACTTAGACAGTTGGAGGATCAGGGAGGGATCAATGTTGCTTGGGTGGAGTAAGCCAGGGGAAGAGGTCAAAGAGGTACTGGGAGCCAACTGTGTGGAGCCTAGTGGGTCACAGTGAGCAGTGTGGCTTTACTCTGAGTGGCCTGAGAGGTAGTCTGTGCTGTAGGAAGGGGGGAAAGTCTGAGTTTAAACACAGAGAGACCTAGGCTCAGATATAGGTCCTACCACTTACCAGCCCTGTAACCCAGGCAAGTCACTATACTTCCGTGTCTCAGTCTCCCCATTTGTAACATGAGGGCAATCCTCACAGGGCTGTTGGGATAATTAAGCCCTTTGGAATCCAGTAGACAAATGCCAGGTATTATTAACAACGTATAAGAGGCTTTGACAATTGCTTGGTTCAACCTGCTTATTTTCCAGATCAAGAGAATGAAACTGAAAGAGGGTAAATGAGTCAGCTGATGGACTCCTTTTTACTACATTGATCTTCCTTCTTCATTGTAAGGCCCCCCTCAGAGGCAAGGAAAGAAAGGCCAAAAGAAGAGGATGGAGTGGGGGGAGAGCTTTGAGGGAGTGGAGGGAATGAGTGAAGTGTGAGCCATACCCTTAAGGGTACTTCTACCCAAGAAGAAAGTGTATGTTGGGCATGGGTGAGGGTATAAGGGAAGAAGGTTAGGATTGGAGTGCTAATAGGTTTGGGGTAGGGAAAGGGAGAAAGAAGACCAGGGAACTGAGAAGTGGGAAATGTCTTTACCCACATCACTTCCCCCTCTCCCAAGCTGCACTGTGGAGATAAATAGAACACATTATAGGCTCTGACCTCAGGTGAGATAATCAAGATGCAACCTTAGTACGGGGAGTAATCCAACAAGTATAGAAAGAGGGACATACAGGAAAGTTGTTGTTGTCAGGTACCATCGAGTTGGTACCAACTCAAAGCAACCTGATGAACAACAGAATGAAACACTGCCTGATCCTGCGTCAACCTTACAATCCTTGCTACGTTTGAACCCATTGTTGTTGCCACAGTGGCAATACATCTCGTTGAGGGTCTTCCTCTTTTTATCCAACCCTCCACTTTACCAAACATGATAGATAGCCTTCTCCAGGGACTGGTCCCTCTTGGTAATATGTCTGAAGTATGAGAGACGAAGTCTCATCATCCTGGCTTCCAAAGAGCATTCTTTCAATACAGATACATTTGTTCTTTTGACAGCCCATGGTACTTTTAATGTTTTCCTCCACCACCATAACTCAAATGCATCAATTCTTCTATGTTCTTCCTTATTTACTGTCCAACTTTCACATGCATAGGAGGTTATTGAAAATATCATGGTTTGGGTCAGGTGCACCTTAGTCCTCAAACTGACATCTTTGCTCTTCAACACTTGAAAGAACTCTTATGCAGCAGCTTTGCCTAATGTAATACATCATTTGATTTCTTGACTGCTGATGGCTGAACTGAGCAAAATGAAGTCTTTGACAACTTCAGTATTTTCTCCATTTATATGGATGTTATTTATTGGTCCAGTGGTGAGGATTTCGGTTTTCTTTGCATTGAGGTGCAACCCATACTGATGGCCGTGGTCTTGGATCTTCATCAGTAAGTATTTTAAGTCCTCTTCACTTTTAGCAAGCAAGGTTGCATCGTTTGCACATCACAGGTTGTTAATCTTGATGCTCCAATCCTTATGCCACATTTTTCTTCATAAAATCCAGCTTCTCAGATTATTTGCTCAGCATACAGATTGAATAAGTATGGCGAAAGAATACAACCATGGTCCACATCTTTCCCATTTAAACCATTCGATGTTCCCTTGTTCTGCTGAAACAACTGCCTCCATGTCCATGTACAGGTTCCTCATGAGCACAAATAAGTGTTCTGGAATATTCATTCTCCACAATGTTGTCCTTAGTTCATCATGATCCACACAATCAAAAGCCTTTGTGTTTACTATAAAGCACAGGTAAACATCTTTCTGGTATTCTCTGCTTCCAGCTAACATCCATTTGATGCCAGCAATGATATCCCTTGTTCCACATCCTCTTATGAATCCAGTTTTGAACCTCTGGAAGTTCTCTGTCAATGTATGGCTACAGCGATTTTTGTGTTATCTTTAGCAAAATTTTACTTGCATGCAATATGTCTGATGATTTCCACATTCTGTTGGGTCACCTCTCTTTGGAATGGGCATTCCAGTCAGTTGGCCAGGTAACTGTCTTCCAAATTTCTTCCAGTCAGTTGGCCAGGTAACTGTCTTCCAAATTTCTAGGCATGGATGAGTGAGTGCCTCCAGTGCTGCATCAGTTTGCTGAAAGATTTCAATTTGTAGTCCATCAATTCCCGGTGCCTTATTCTTTGCCAAAGCCCTCAATGCACCTTTAACTTCTTCCTTCAGGATCATTGACTCTTCATCATATGCTACTTGTTATGGTTGAAGATCGACCAATTCTTTTGGTACAGTGACTCTGTATTCCGACCATCTTCTTTTGATGCTTTCTGAATCATTCAATATTTTGCCCAGAGAATCCTTTAATACTGCAAGTTGATGTTTGAATTTGTTCTTCAGTTCCCTCAGTTTGAGAAACGCTGAGTGTGTTCTTCCTTTTTGGTTTTCTAGCTCCAGGTCTTTGCACACTTTGTTATAATATTTGACTTTGTCTTCTCGAGCTTCTCTTTGAAAATTTCTATTCAGCGTTTACGTCTTCATTTCTTTCATTTGCTTTAGTATCTCTACCCTGGAGAGCAAGTTTCAGAGTCCTTCTGATATCCATTTTTTGTTGTTTCCTTCTTTCTTATCTTCTTAATGGCTTGTTGCTTTCTTTCTGTATGATGTTCTTGATGTGAAAAGGTGCTCTGTGACCATGGTTCTCTATCGTTTAGAGAATGCGAAGGCTAAGGGTACCACTGGTACAACTGTCATTGACTGAACATATTCTATGTGTTAGGTACTATGCTGGGCCAAGCCTCATAGCCACTTCATAAGGGAAGGGATTCTTGCCCTCTCCTCACCCCATGTCATTTTATAAGTGAAAAAAAAACTGAGGCTTGATTAAGTGGTTAGTAAGTAATAGAATTGGAACTGTTTACTCACCCACTGACTGAATGCAAACAACCTGATGTGTCCCTTGTCCCACCTGACTAGTCATCCTCCATTCATTATTTCAACACCTCCTTTCCCTGTATCCACCACTCATCTGTCAGTTTGTGGTACTGTTGTCGTACTGTGGTGGCTTATGTGGTAGCCGTGATTCTGGAAGCTATGGCATGGGTATTTTAAATATCAGCAGGGTCACCCAAAGTGGACTGGTTTCAACTGAGCTTCCAGACAAAGAGAGACTAAGAAGAAAGAGAGATGGACTACTTCAAATATTTAGTAACTGGAAAGCCTTATGAATAGCAGTGGAACACTGTCAGCACCAGAATATTGAATACTGAAACATGATGAAGAGCACCAGAATATTGTCAGATATACTATCAGAAGATGAGCCCCTCAGGTTGCAAGGCACTCAAAATACAACTGGGAAAGAGCTGCCTCCAGAGTAGATTTGACTGTGATGACGCGAATGGAGTAAAGCATTTGGGACCTTCATTTGCTGATGGGGCACAACTCAAAGTGAAGACAAACAGCTGTAAACATCCATTAATAATCAGAACATGGAATGTACAAAGCATGAATCTAAGAAAATTGGAAGTTGTCAACAATGAAATGGACCGCATAAACATCAATACTCTAGGATTTAGTGAGCTGAAATTGACTGCCATTGGCAATCACATGGTTTACTATGCTTGGAATGACAAATTGAAGAGGGATGGCATCGCTTTCATCATCTATCAAGTTCTGTCTTGAAGTACAATGCTGTCTGTGATAAGATAATATCCATATGCCTACAAGGAAGACCAGTTAAAACCACTATCATTCAAATTTATGCACCAACCACTAAAGCCAGTGATGATAAAATTGAAGAATTCTACCAGCTTCTTCAGGCTGAAACTGATCAAGTATGCAATCAAGATGTATTGATAATTAATGGCAATTGGAATGCAAAGGTTGGAAACAAAGAGGAAGGATTAGTAGTTGGAAAATATGGCCTTAGTGACAGAAATGATGCTGGGGATCGCATGATAGAAATTTGTAAGACCAACGACTTCTTCATTGCAAATACCTTTTTTTAAATAACATAAAAGATAGTCATGAACCTCACCAGATGGAATACAAAGAAATAAAATTGACTACATCTGTGGAAAGAGACATCAGCCAAAACAAGGGCAGACTGTGGAACAAATCATCAATTGCTTATATGGAAACCATGGTCACAGAGCACCTTTTCACATTTATTAAAACTTTCCATCTTACTCTGAAGAAGCAAGATTGTTTCTGAGGACTGGCACAGTGACTTTCAGGTACCAGGTCTGAGGGGTCTATCTTCAATAACTTCCCAACTATCCACAGAATTGAGGCCAAACCCCTCAGCCTCACTCCCTAATACTAACCCTCTGCTTTAAGCAGGCTGGTCTAAGCAGGTTAGACTCTATCCCACACCACAGATCACACTTATTCAGTTTGACCCAGAAAGACAACTCCTTAAGGAGCTCGCAGACTGACCACCTACCTCTGTCTACTTTAGCGTATAAGAAACATATATAATCGTCACTATTATCATGAAAGGAGCTCTGGTAGTGTAGTGGTTATGAATCGGGCTGTGAACCGCAAGGTCAGCAGTTCGAAACTACCAGCCGCTCCGCGGGAGAAAGATGAGGCTTTCTGCTCCCGTAAAGATTTACAGCCTCGGAAACCCTGTACAGGGTCGCT